GTAACAGACACACATGTACCTTGCTATCAGTTCCAGATGTATTTCCATAATTTCTCAATCACTATAATTATTGGTGTAAGATCGCTTTTTGCCTAATTTTCTTTCAAGGTAAAATTCTAAATAAATTTATTTACTAATGGTTTTATTAGGGTTTCGTAATTATCAATGACTATTTCCAAAATTTAATTAAGTTGTTTTTAAAGGGTAATAGTTAAATAATGAGCTTAAGTCYACTACTATTGAGATTCACAGATGTGTTCATTTAGAAATAATCTATCGGGCATTTGTAGAAATACGAAAGAATTTCTTAAAATATGGTGATATTAATAAATATATTAAATAACCTATTATACATAAAGTTTTTTTCTATTTGTTTTATATATTCTTGGAGCTATAAGAGCTATGTATGATTGGTTATAAGCAGCATAAAAAAGTGAAATATTTCAGAATAACTAAGCTTGAAAACTGTGAATATATGTACTGGGATAAATTATCGGCACTAAAAATAAATAACAATTTTCAAGTTTATGAATAAAAAATCTTACAAGTTTAAAAATGAGAAAAAAATAAAACTAGTTTGTATAACAGTCGGTCTACGTCTTTATAATATGCATATGGTTTCAAATATTAAATATTTATTCAAAAAGCATGCAGAAGTATTTAAGTTTTATTAGACATTATTTGACATTAGAAGTAAAAAAGTTGCTCTTCGCATAAACTTTGCATATAAGTTGTTAATGAAATCTGAAAGAAACCGGAATAATAATAAGATCAAACGAATATTTTTTTAAAGCTACTACTATTATATGCAATTAAAAACATTTACTTATTAAATGGCATTGCCAGCAATCGTGTTCAGCAAAAACATAAAATGAAAGTAAAAATTCGTTTCAATGACCGCAGAAGTTTTAGAAGATTGTGTTCGCTTAAGAAATTCTTATATAATTGTAACTGTACTTACCTGGTAAATTACACTAACTTTTACATGGTTGTTGAGTATATAATAATGATATAATAATATAGCACTTACAAAATAGAAGGTAAAGATATTGACAACAGTGGACATTGTTTAGTTAATTCAAACATAATATTTGAAGTATGTTAATCTGGTGTCCTCAGTCCGATGATAAATATGTACGTATTTTCAAAAATGGCAAACTTCCAGTACGTAGGTACATAAGATAAATGCCGGTTCTATAGACAAGTAGATGTCCACAAATACTTTCCCAATTTAAAGAATTTAAAACCAAGTGTTTGAAAATGCCTTAGCTAAACATTCTATAATTAAATTTCTATTTGATATATTTCATTTATTTAAACAAGAGCTTTTAATTAATTTCAATAGACCGATAAGCAAATATTTGGTTGAGTCGAACTGTTAAAATATTTAAATAATAATAAATAATTAAAATAGCATATATATGCGTGCAACCATTTAAGTGAACTTTAATTTTTCTGTTCAAAATAAATCGTGAGTTGTGCTATGTTGAAAGTCAAAAAATCATTAAATCACAATTTTACAACACGTACACATATGAGGGATTGTCTGTGCATTCATTTGAATGTGGTGTATTGATATTGTCTAGATATATATCGCCAGAGAGTATTCTTTCTATACAATGACGTTATCATTTGAACTTCGCGAAAAAAATTGTATTTTGATTTTATAGATAGTATTTAGGAATATGTATTAGTTACATATACATATATATCGGTACACTTGAAGCTAAAACACATAATAAATTTACGAAATCCAATAAGGGTAATTATATTAACGCTGGCATACAAATACAGTGTTGTAAACACTTATTCTACGTATTTATTAGATATTTTCCTATATATTATTTTATTTCGATATGACATCTTCTAGTGCGGGTCGAATATTGTTTGATCTTTGAATTCGACAATTCTTCGAAATGTGGGTATTTAAAGTTAGAACATACATATTTATTTATGTGCTAGTTTCATTAAACTAGACATTGGTTTGAACATTGAGATGTTTAATAAAATTAATACAATTTAAAACCCTGTTATAATTTTCAACTCAACTGCATTTTGGTTGAAGTGTTGAAATTTGGTACTAAAGATATCAATACAATTCAAAAAAAAAAATCATTGAAGTGTTGTCAAGTTTCAAAACTTTTTGTGGTAATATTCTGTCCCAGCGAGGTTGACTAATATATTTAAAAAATTGCTTTATAACAGTTTATTTAGAATTAATTTGACACATAGAAAAATTTTAAATAGAGTAAAATCCCGAAATTTTACGAGGCAAGTCAGAATTTTAAAAAGGGAAGAACAAAAATGTCCCAAACAAAAATAGTTGAGCAATCTATTATTTACACAAATGCGATGAGAGTAGAAAGTTGAGATCAAAGGAAATTTTTTTCCATTATGGGACATATGTAGTAAGAGGTATTATTGAACTACAAAATAAAAATTATTGACATTTTTTGCGGCCGTCAATTTCCTGACTGGACGAAAAAAGTTTTTTTTTTTTTAATCAAGAGGCGTTTATCAAGTGCCTGGTAGAGGGGTTTTGAGAATTTCGAAAAATTGGGTATGTAGCTCTGAATTTTCTAAAAACTTCCATTTTTACCCTTGTTTTTCGACATTAAAATAGTTGTATTTGAATAGTTTCTTGTTTTTTTTCTGTGAAATATATATATCCTCAAGGGATTAACTAACATYTTTAACTGTAAAAAGTTTGTCTAAGCGCTGTATGATCGTATATTGATAGTTAAACAAACAGAAAAAAATAACACKTTGGAATTTAGTAATCTCACTACGAACTTGCAAATTTATTCAAATCTATTTACTAAACAAAAGGGTTTTTAATTTCTATATATTTTATTCCCCATTTGAGTCACATATTTGCGCATTGCTGCCAAAAATGTTAAACAGCGCTTCGCAGGGTTGTTTTCTGCATTATTGAGAATACCGGCTTCAATAGCCATCCGCAAAGCCAAATCCCATACATATACATTTATTAAAATCAAAGATATTTACTATATCACTTTTTAGTGACAATTTATTCTTAGGTTTTACATAGACGTCTGCTTTTGATTGGGTAGTCCGTTTAGTCGCCTCATACGACAAGCCGTGGACAAAGCTGTGGCTGTATTCTTTTGAACCGCCCCAAACCACAGGGCCGTTGACAATACATATAAGTACACATTTCAAATCAAATATATTTGAAAAAAAAACACAAAAGGAATGCTATTGAGCTTTTACTTACTTATTTAATTTATCTTATTGAAAGAAACTTTATGAAATAACAATTTTTTTCTCTGCACTAACAATAGCAAAATATTTATGCGAAATGTTTTATACTACATTAAATTATCAAGAACAGAACCCATGGCACCGAAACCATCAGAGCAATAATTTTTTGTAATTACTTTCCATTGTAGGCAAAAAAATACATTTACAGACGCACAAAATAAAACACCCTGGAGTAGTAGTCTTAAGACCACTCATAAATAGAAATTTCTTTAGGAGATATGGGCAAATACTTTAGCGAGTATTAGATAAAAAACAAACCACCATCACTCTCCCGCAAATAACGTTCTAGTCAAAATTTATTTCTTTAAATATGTAAATACTATTTTATTATAAATTTTATAAATAAAAACAAAATATCAATTTTATGTATATAATATAATATTTTAATGTGCATATTTGCTCTTTCGTTTCTTCCCTTTAGAATAAAAGTATTATTTATTTACAACAAATAATTAATGACTGGTCCACATTATATATTTTTCAGCTATTTTCTAATGTCCACTTTTTACTACACCTAGTATATTTTATTTCACATTTAGCTTTGTAAACACAGACATGGTACACAGACAATATTTGTTTAATATAATCTCTGCCTTCGCAGATAGGCGCAAGTTTTACGTATTTCTGAATATATTTATTTTTTAGGCCCATGTGTAATTCTGAATGCATTTTTTTGACAATTCACATAAATTGTTGGTGAACCAAAAGTTAAAGAAAAGTTAAAAGCAGCAATATTATAAACTTTATTCTTGTAACTGGTTGTATCTGGTTAACCACCAAAAATAATTTTACTTAAATACGAATGTAATCCATACAAAATTACTATTTATGGGATCACAATGAATTCATTTCATTTGAACAGTTATCTTCGTTTTAGCTACGGGTATATGAGTTTAGGTGCTTTTAATTCGAAGCATGATTTGTCAAATATATTTTTAGCGAACCCGTAGTAGCACTTTCATCTATGGGTTAGTGAATCCTTTATTCGTACTAACTTGCAGCATTTTACCACACATACATACGGACAGGAGCTGCATAAGGAATAACTAAAGTCGAAAGTTTGTATATATGTATACAACTTCTAATATTTATACACTAAATGTCTACTTCCGATTCTTTGCTGACTTTGGCTTTGGTTTATTTAGGTATGATGAAAAAATTTGTGGATATTTTTCTCATCTATAAGTACTTATAGTTATATAAATATGCTCATGTTTTTATGTATTTCTGTCGGTCAGGGTCAATATTAATATACCGTTATAGCTAACAAATTTACTAACTCACATCATATTTTATTTTTAACCATCGTGGGTTTATTTTTTGTTTCATTTTAATTTACAAATATTTTTTTTTTTGGTTTTAAAAGTATGCAAATATAAGTATTTTTATATTCTCAACATCATAATCAGTGACTTTTTCGATAAATCCAAAGTATCAATGCTTTATCTAATTCAGTGAATGTGAAATTTTTTCATTGATTTCGGTATACATAATATCCTCTCTTAAGTCAAGCTAAAAATATTTCCAATAATACAAACATTGAAAGTTCTGAGTTTCTTTATTATCCTCTTTTATTTTTTAGTATTATTTTGATAGTGGTTCTAGCCGAACTTATCAAATCGAAAACTTCACAAATTATTAAAAGCACTATTGTTGCCAATTTATAATTGTTTTAAAGTCAGTTATAAAACTTCTTTTATTTATTTATATATATATTTTTTTTTTGAATAAATAATAAACGAAATTTGCAAACTCGAAATTATTAAGATATTTGTTAATAAAATTTATTTCAACGTTAATTTGGTATCGATTCTTATTATCTTATACATTCATATATATTGAAATATACATATGTACTTTATGTTATTAATTACACAAATTTGTATATGCAGATATACATTTCACTTGGGGCGAGTTTCAAGTTACAAACCAGGTATTCCGTTGAAGTATGGTCAAGGGAGTTGGCCAGGAGGAGTTGGCATTACAGGCAATACTTTATACACACTTATTCACATTATTCTTGAAGCTATAGAAAGCCCAAATACTCTYCTTTAAGAAGTCGCGTTTCTAAAGTAGGAACTAATAAACTTTTTATATAGACTATCGAGCACTAGCTTGTGTGGAAGATGAATTATTTGTTTGGTGAAAATATTGCCAAACATGCGTCTTTCTTAGAACACTCAAAAATGCAACTGATATAAATCGAGAAAGCTTGGCTCGATAAGTAAGTACATCAGTTATGAAAAGTACAAATGCTATTGTAGCATAAATTATTCTAAGAGAATTGAAAGCTTCCTTTTTACCTATGAACTTATCAAATCCATAAAATAAAATATATACATCAGGAAGTCAAAGAAATCAGAACAAGTGTTGATAAAAAATCGGATCTCTTCCACAAGTTTCGGTGTGTTAAAAGTATTGAAATAGCTCCGGCTAAAAGTGGTGGTGATAATAAAAAAAAAAAAKTGGAACTGTTAATACGTCTGCTCAAACGTATTTTAAATTGACAGAATATTGCACTTTTATAAAATAATATAATTTCAAAAGATAATTTTTATATATGGAATTTTCAAATTAGAAAGAAATATGGAATTCTGGTTTGTCTGTCGTTGATTGATACTGTGCAAACAATTGAACCTCTTTGAGCAGATCTAAAATGCAATCTTGTATTTTCTTCCCCGATTATTGTATTTTTTTCAGACCCTATAATTTACGTATACATGTATGAGTTAATATTTTATTCTAATTACAGCTGAAAATGTCTAAAAGTTACTTTTTTATGCTTTACATAAGAGTATTCCATATGTTAAGTTTAGTTTTTATTTCTAATATTTTGGAATTTTTATTAGCTTTCCCCATTTTTTTAGTTTACTGGTTACATTTACATTTTATTATTATTTTTTTTTTTATTATTACTTTTAATTGTATATACTTTATTTTTAATCAATAACTTATTTAAAGTTGAGGTCACATGAGTTGGTTTTGTTGAGTTTATTTATTTAGATACATTATTTCATTGCTAAATATTTTTACCCATTTAGCTAATTAATTTATGCAATTATTGCCCCACCTATTAACTCCTTACGCTCTTTTTGCATGTCGGCTACGAACTATTCTACAATGTTAAGGTATACATTGCAAATAATAATAATACAGGGTTAAGTAAATAATAACAAATGTTTTTTAAGAATTAACTAAGTAGGTTTACGGCTTTACATAAATAATATACAGCATTATTTTAGTAATATTATATGCTTTTCTATTTTAATTCCAATTTATATTAAATTTTCGATAATCAATTCCACATTTTTCACTCCTGGGTGAATTGTGTGTGATAATGAAAAGTTTTGTAACATTTGACTACGAGGTTGTAGTACTTAGTTAGTAGTAKTAGATTTTTCTCGTTAGCTCCAACAGTGTGCTTTATTCAAACTACTAACACTAAGTGTACATGAATTGTTCTTTTTGAATAAACATATATCCTTTAGCAATATGAAGGACAGACAAAGTACGCTAAGTAATTTGTGCGAGTTGCCATATCTCACAGTGTTAACGGTCGCGCCTCTTGTTTCAATTGTTATCAGCGTCTTATTGCGGACTGTTGGGTGGTGTGATCTCATCACCTTCACCTCCGGATCCTGGTTCCCCTTTTGTTTTATTCTCCTTTTTCCATTTCATTCGTCGGTTCTGGAACCAGATCTTTATTTGTCGCTCTGTGAGACACAACGCATGAGCGATCTCGATTCGTCGTCGCCTTGTCAGGTAACGATTAAAATGAAATTCTTTCTCCAGCTCTAACGTTTGGTAACGGGTATACGTTTGGCGACCACGTTTCCGTTCTGTGGGGTTAAAAAAGAAATTATAATAATTAACATCGCGTTTTAATATCTGACGGATGACAGTAACAATCAAAATACTCAATACTCTATTTTAGACAACTACCAAACCAAAACGCAATTTTATACTTATAAACTAACACCGCAATAATTGGCCATACAAATAATTTACATATTATTATGCTTATGTATATATTAAACATAAGTGAAATTCATGTGCGGACGACAACTCTCGGGCTGTGAACATGTAGACGAAAAGATCAAAGAGCGACCTTACCAAATCAGACGATTTGTAATTGTCAGAATACCACCACGGTGCGAACTCGTTGTTTTGTATGATTACTGTAAAATCGTATTGAAATATTTTGTTGGTATCCGTTTAATGCTGGGACAGTCACTTTTGACTGCAGGGATGAGGTTTAAAACCAACAAAATTTCGGACAGTCGATTCTATGTCTACTCGCCAGACCTTCAAGGAGTATTTGCTTTGTACCTACGTACATATGTGGTAGAAGTGTGTGTTTAAACACCAGCTGCACTATGCAATGCTACAGGTTAAAAGCTGAATGTTGGGTAAAGGCGAATGACACTGGTGACTATGAGTTAAATAATTACGCGCAGCAAAATGAAAAAAAAAATTATCTTTTTTTATTCCCGAAACCAACAATGCCATATTTTAGAACATAGTTTCCTACAAAAAATCAAAAGCGTTTTAAGAATAAAACGTACCTACATACATGAAAATTCGAATACATATATGAATGTTGTCTAGAGTGTTTGTCGCTATTCATGAAATGAATGCACTTTGCTTAAACCACAGACAAGTGCGATCAATCATGATTGGATGCATACAGTGCTTAGTGTCGGAGTTCTATGGCAGCCCTCCGAATGCTTTGATAGGAACGATGGCAGGAGTAAAGAAACTGTGAGTATAGAAAGCAGCTATAAATGAACGATTCCCAGCAATTATAAAAAGAAAATAGATCTGGATTATGGCGTATTTCTACATATGTGTAGCTTGCAACAATATACAAAAATATCATTAGAAGAATGAGTTATATCAAATGCAATAACACTCATATATACAGAAATTTCTGAAATCCTCAAATATTATAACGCTGAAGTCACTTTTCTGTACACAATACTAATATTAAGTGTTCACTTAGTATTTTTGCCTTTTTAGGTTAACTTTAAACCGAGTTTTTATTGTTTAAAACATTTAATGAAATTATGTATTTTCCATTTTTCCATTTTCGGGAAGAGATTGATTCCACGCTCTTAAAATTTTTTGATATTCGCAGGTCCAAAAAAATATTACAGAAACGAAGATGCTGAGTTTGGGATGGTAGAAAATCCAATTCAGGTTGCAAAAGCTTTGGCGAGTCTTCAAAAATGTATGAGATCTCGCAGTATCCTGGTGGAATTCTACTCATTTTCTGTTGTTCAATTCTGATCTCTTCTTTTTGAGTGCATCATTCAATTTACAGCTATACTTCAGAGCTGTTTTATTTTCGGGCAAAAGCTCAAAATAAACACTAATTTTAAAATCCCTCAAAGCGGATAAAATAATACTTTTGGTGACTACCGGCCTGCGAAGAGGCTGCTGGTTTATCCTTTTTATACCATGATGCCGGTAACACTGGGCATCAAAAATGAATCTCTTCTTCGACATTAGATAAGTATTAAGGTTAATGCGAGGAAGAAAATTTAGTTCTGTAAGAACATGAGGAACTCATATGGCAGGCTACAAATTATTCCTAGACATTTCATGTACTTGTGAATGGTCGCGTTAGAAATTTCTAATTTTCAGCAATCTCTCTAGTTCTTATTTGACCATTTACATCGACCAACGACGTCATTTATTTACATTGGCTTCGAGAGTCTTTCCAGGACGGGACGCATCTTCAAGGTCGAAATACTACTACCTACAGTTTTTTACATTTATGATAATGATAATGAAGTATTTTTTAACTTTCCTGAGGTTTCTAATTCATCCAGAAAAGTTGTAGAATTCAATAGTCTCAAAGTTAGTACATACATACGTACATATGTTTTAATTGTTCTGTGTTTATAAATAAAAAGAAATTGTGTTTTTTAACGATTTCCTTTCTGTAGAAAAACGCTAGCGAATTTAATTACTAAAAACGTTAACATCGAATGCTCGACACTAGTATACCCTTTAAAGATGAAGAAGCTTTCTATGCAGAAATTGATTTTTACCAATAATTTGGTGGCTGGTTAAGTATATTCTATTGTTTTAGATATAGACGATTCTCACAAATGAGCAGATTCTTAGGGAGAAATATACGTATGCAAAATTTCGATATTACAAAAACTGCGAGACTAGTTTTAGAGTATATGATCATTTAAATGTATAATTTATAGGGTCTCCGACGTTTCCTTCTGGACGTTACAAACTTCTTTGCAACCTAGTATACTCTATTGAGGGTATAAAAAGCTACATGGATTTAATAAAAGACAAATCCATCATTGGAAAAAGTAGTAGCAACAATGGCTCAGGAGTAATAATGAAATATTCAAGAAAAATGGTGGCTTAATCGCAATTTAATTACGATATGTTTACTTTCACGTCAAAAAATTACCCACTACTACAAATGTGTGCGTGAGGTGCGTGAACATGTATGTATTTATATCCTCGGCTCTTTCAGAAGTGGTTCATTATAACTTTACTGCATTGTCTTTGCTTTGTTGAGTATCTATAAAGTAACTTTTGGTATGGCGAAGTATTCTACCATTCTCTGACCTCTGACTAAGAGCGATACCATGAATATTAACGCTAATTGTTCGTGTATGTGTGCACTAATGTGATTTTAATAATTTTCCTCTATAAGACTGTAGCCCTATGTGCTTATTACAACCACCGTACCAGCCAGTGGCGTTGTAATTATGGCATACCTCTATCGGTTTTATAGCATTTATCACTGTGCCGCCAAAACGAGGGAAAGAGCAAAATGAAACAACGCTGAACATAGGCGCCACCACGATCGGTATTTTGACGAATTGTCAAAAACAGTATGAACAAAAAATGGAGGCCGAAGGCATAGAAATGCGCATGCGTCAAATGGTGGCCATAATTGATTTGAAGGGATGAAAGGTAGAGGCTTTAAACTCGGTACCCGTCTTTACTTAGGATCAATAAATAATAATATTTCAGGGGTGGGCATGCTTATTGTAATACATAATACATTATACATTATGTATGTTAATTTAATGATCTGACAATAACTTGACTTTATATATTTTTTATCAGAACCACTAATTATTTCGTAAAACACATTGGAAAAGAGTGTAAACGATAAAAAGTGTCTGACTCTAAGCATGTGTAACACATTAAATGAACAATCAGTGAGAGGCAAAGTCTCTTGCTATTTCCGCCTTCTTGTAGTCTTCAACTAAAGTTGATGATGATTAACTAAAACTGCCCCGAGTTATAGATTTGGTAGTAGCTGTATCGTCTTACAAATATGTGCACATACAATATAATTTCTTCTTCTTCTTAATTGGCGTAGACACCGCTTACGCGATTATAGCCGAGTTAACAACAGCGCGCCAGTCGTTTCTTCTTTTCGCTACGTGGCGCCA